ACAAATATCACATTTGTAACATTCCTCTCTGGTATGTGTTCGGCTATGGTTTACAAGATCATAGCTGTCAGCAAATGATGCTTCACACACATCACACTTGTAAGGTTTCACTCCAGTGTGTATTTGGCTGTGATTTATAAGATCAAAACTTTCAGCAAATGACACATCACAAACATCACATTTGTAAAGTTTCTCTTCAGTGTGCATTCTGTTGTGACTGATAAGATCATCAACTTCACCAAATGATACTTCACAAACATCACATTTGTAGGGCTTTTCCCTAGCATGCTTTCTGCAGTGATATCTCAGATCATTACTTCGAGCAAAAGCCATTTCACAAACATCACATTTGTAATTTCTCTCTCTAGTATGTGTTCTATTGTGAATTTTTAGATCATAACTTCTAGCAAATGGTATTTCACAGACATCACATTGGAAAGGTTTCTCTCCAGTATGTGTTCTATTGTGCTGTCTCAAATGATCACTTCTAGAAAATGATATATCACACATATCACAACTGTAAGGTTTCTCTCCGGTGTGTGTCCTAATATGCTTTCTGAGATACTCACTTCTGGCAAATGATAGTTCACAAATATCACATTTGTAATGCTTCTCTCCGGTGTGTGTTCGGTTATGCTTTATTAGATCATAACTTCGAGCAAATGATATTTCACACACATCACATTTGTAAGGTTTCTCTCCAGTATGCGTTCTAATGTGCTTTTTAAGATATTCACTGCGAGCAAATGATATTTCACAAATATCACACTTGAAAGGCCTCTCTCCTGTGTGTGTTTTCACATGCTTTTTTAGATATTCATCCCTTGCAAATGTCGTTTCACACACATCACATTTGAAAGGCTTCTCCGTAGCATGGATTCTGCTGTGTTTTAGCAGATAATAGCTTCGAGCAAATGACACATCACAAATATCACATTTGTAAGGTTTCTCTCCAGTGTGTTTTCTATTGTGTATTTTTAGACTACTTTGTTTGGGAAAAACTAAACCACATTCGTCACATTTGTAAGGTTTGCCGTCAGTATGTCTAGCTTTATGTTGTTTAAGATATACATAATGAGCAAATGACAGTCCGCATATATCACAAATAAACGAGGTGCCCTTGTCATTTCTAAGATTGCCATTCTGATGAAGATATTCTCCATTAGCAGCACTTATAACAGACTTGTCTTCAGGTTCTTGTTTAATCTGGCATTCATTGCCCACATCATCATCACCAGGTTCCTCTTGAACTTCAGACCCTGGAGGTCTGTCACTAGACTCACTGCTGCAGTTCTCACTTGAAATATACTTGTTCTGAGTCTTGGATACATCAAATTTGTTGTCACAGTAAGTGTTGTACACTGATGATGTATCCTCATGTTGGATTTCTACATGTTCATCTCTGAGAGTAGCAGGAGAGTTCAGATCACTAGCAGGTTGTTCTGAAACAGATAAGTTGTTCTAAAACAGATAAGTTGTTCTGAAACAGATAAGTTGTTCTAAAACAGATAAGTTGATCTAAAACAGATAATTTGTTCTAAAACAGATAAGTTGTTCTGAAACAGATAAGTTGTTCTGAAACAGATAAGTTGTTCTAAAACAGATAAGTTGTTCTGAAACAGATAAGTTGTTCTAAAACAGATAAGTTGTTCTAAAACAGATAAGTTGTTCTGAAACAGATAAGTTGTTCTAAAACAGATAAGTTGTTCTAAAACAGATAAGTTGTTCTGAAACAGATAAGTTGTTCTGAAAAAGATAAGTTGTTCTAAAACAGATAAGTTGTTCTGAAACAGATAAGTTGTTCTGAAACAGATAAGTTGTTCTAAAACAGATAAGTTGTTCTGAAACAGGTAAGTTGTTCTAAAACAGATAAGTTGTTCTAAAACAGATAAGTTGTTCTGAAACAGATAAGTTGTTCTGAAACAGATAAGTTGTTCTGAAACAGATAAGTTGTTCTGAAACAGATAAGTTGTTCTGAAACAGATAAGTTGTTACACTGTAATCAACATTTCTCCTCGTGTGGGTTCGGGGCCACCATGGTGGGGACAACAAGAATGGACCCACTGCCTACTTATCAAGCATGTCTTAAGAGTCGACTAAATGGGAGTATCCTTCGAAGTCGGAGTGCCTGAGGGACAAGGAACCAACCAACAGTCTGCCTACAAACAAGTCATACCTGTAAAATAGCTGTAATAGTTTCGTTGCCCAGCTTCTGAGTTGAGTGCATGGCATGACACTGTGAGCTGCAGATTTCATTTGAACTGTCACAAACATTTTGTGTGTTTTTCATTAGCACAGGAGCGGAGCAACTATGGGGTGACCCGTTTGCTATGAAGCTGAAACTAAGATTACCAGATTACCTGTAAAATGGAAGTGCGTGCAACAGTTCCTGGAACAAGACAAGTCCAGAGGTGGATGAACAACCAGAGCTTTCTGCCAGAGTTTACAGCCGGTAAACAACAAGAAGAAGAAGAATCAACGCTTAACGTAATAACTCAAATGATTCAATAAAATTGAAGATATAGAACAAGCAGACAGAATGTCTGGCTCTAGCCCAGTGACTTGTGAACTGATGCGTGACAAGTTAGAGGTGGTCACAGCCCTTAGAAGCAAATGAACCACATGGATGTAGAAATAGGTCATCAAGGTCCGGAGAGAACAGTGTGGCTGAAACTGACCAGGAGCTCTGTGCCGACCTTCAACACCCAGGAAAGGTCAGATGGACATAATAAGCACACTGCTGTTGGCACCATCAGAACTGAAGCTCTGTTTGTTGCTGAAAGGGAAGAGCTCCAGCCAAAAGGTTTGGGTAGTTACCGGCCATGGAAAGATAACTAGTCAAATACAGATACATTTGCTTGTGATGTTTACAGGGCTTCCAGAACAGACAGGAGACAGTTGTGGCAGCATTAGATCTTGAGGATGCCTACAACAGAGTCAGGTATGATATTTTGTCATGGGCATTAATGGAGAAGGGGGTTTGTCCCTGGCTTGTGAACTGGATAGCAGCTGTCCTGCATTCACATATGGTTGCCCTTCGCCTGGGTACATGGACCTCAGAACCATGTAAGATCGCCCTGGGACTACCCCAGGGTTCTGCAATTTCACCAGTGCTTTTTAATGTGTATACAAGCAAGACTGCAGAACTTGAAGCACCAGGTGTCGGAAGGATATAAACATTTGCCAATGATGTTCTTGCATATAAGCAGGGGACGGACAGACGACGGACAGCCCAGGAGCTGTAGGCAACAAAGTGACTGACTGGTGTGCAGACATGGGTGCTGTCATCAACTCAGAAAAGGCGGCTGTTTTGTGTTGCTGTCTCTGAACAATAGAATTGTGAGAGCTAATGTTCCAAGACTCACAGTTAATAACAGTAACATCAAAAGAGAAAGCAAATAGAGGTACCTGGGTATCATTTTCGATAGAAGTCTGTCCTTCAGGGATCACGTGGAGGCAGTTACGGTGAAATGCCAAAAAGTACTCAATGCTCTCAAGATTATGGCAGCAATGGACATGGAACAAAGAATGCTGTTCACAATGTTAAAGCATGTGATCCTGTTGGTGATAGATTATGGACTTGGCATGCTTACCATATCAAAGAGTCAGCTGATAAAACTTAAACGCATACAGAATGAAGCCATGCCGATAATTCTGGGATGTACAAGAAATACCCCGGTAGTATGTATGCAATATATACTTGTACTGCCTACTATCACAGACAGGCTCAAAGTCATATCTCAGAGTAGCTGCAGACAAGAAGCACCTCCTGCATGAAGCCCTGAGCAGAGCTAAGGGTCAAAGACTGAAAAGAGGAAGGTCTTGGATTGCGCAAGCAGATGACACAATTGGACATGTGTGTAGGCTTGATAAATTTGGGTGAGGAGAGGAGTGGGTCAAGGTGTCCGAGCAAGTTTCAGACTTGTGTAGCGTTCTTATCACTTTAGGTCCTGAATACAGGGGCTGGCCAGATGAGGCTACAGAATTGATTGGCACCTTTCTGTCTTTCCAGACGATAGTGTTGCTTCAGAATCAGAAGTTCAACAAATGATTTATGACAGTACCCGCCCAAGTGATGTGATTATCTTTACAGATAGCTCTGTGTTGAGAGGCAGATGAAGTGCATGGGGGTTCACAGCAAAAGCGAATGGACGTCACTTAGTGCAACAAAACCTTGCATATGATATCACAACATCTAGTTGGAGAATGGAGGTGGAGGCAGTCACTGCCGCCTTCGGCTGGCTGGAGAATTAGCTGTACACACATACCATGATTGTAACTGACTCACAGAAAATGTTGAGAAAGCTGGAGACAGGCATGCTCCATGCAGAGTGGCAAGCATCAGAGTTCCCGGGTAGTTAGCATCCTTTTGATATTTTCTCCAGGAAATGCCGGTGTGTTGGAAAATGAGCAGGCAGACAAACTGTCTGGCTCTGAACAGCATCATGTCCTGAAAGTTGAAGTATTTTGGCTACATCAAGCGTCATGGTGGTTTGGAAAAAACGGTGATGCAGGGTGCAGTTTGTGGAAGGCGAGGCAGGGGTCGACCACCATGAAGATGGATAAAAGACACTGAAGATACATTGGCATTGAAAGCACATGGGGCTGGAGAGCTGGCTAGGGAAAGGGAAACTTTCAGGCGTGCCGTGAAGAGAGCGACGTTCTGTAAAGGACTTGCTGATTGATGGTGACAGCCACACAGAAGCAGAGAGTTAGAGAGTTAGAGAGGTGGCAACACTCTCATCAATAAATCAACAGTTAGTAATAACAGCTGGGTACCAGACTGCAAGCTCTGTCTGGAGTTTAACGGAGGCTGCTGGTGACAGATGGGCCAAGGGGAACAGATTTTATAGAAGAAAAAAGAAAACAATAAATGAAACTGTGATGGACGTTAACACCATATGGAAAAAGGCAACCTATGAGGTAATAGATACGCTAATATATCACTTAAAACAAATACAGTAAGTAAAACTAATCAGAAATAGCTTGAGTTGCTCTACCTTGGTGTTCTCGAAGTTCTGTATCCCGCTCTCTAGCCTGTAAACTTGTAACTAGACTGCTAGAGTCTTGACCATTGGTCCAGCTGTCGTTCTCACTCTGTGGGAAACAGTCAGACCTCAGTTATGATGTTTAAGTCGTTATGGTATGAGAATGACAACAGACAACAATCAAATGCCGTGGGGAAATGAGCAGCAAAAGAATGCTAAAAAATCTGACAGTTAGTGCCTGTGTCTACCACTTTGTGGTGTTGGCATTTTGTTTCTTTTTCCTGAAGATGTAAGGCCGCAAATTTAGTGCTGCCACCAGGGACTGTGCAGGTCAGCACTTTATTTCTGCTCCCGACAGAAAAAAATCCATGACCTTATCGAGAATGTGAACCTTGGTTTCCCACGTGAAAGGTCAGCGTTCTTAACGGTTTGACCAGCCGATCCTCCCTATAGTAAAGAATAAAAAAAACAACAGAAAACACAAGGAAGAAAAAGCAGACTAGAGGTCAGAAAACCTGTATCCGTAATCAGAGATACCCAAATAGTCTAGTGGCTGGTGTGTTTGCCTGTCAAGATAGTAGACTGGGGGTTCACTTCCTAGAAGTGGTAGTATTTGTTTCTCAACAGCACTTCTTCTTCCTCATCACTTAAAAAGGTGGTTGACATGCTGTGTTGTGGTTAACAGCTAGGCTGTGATATCAGTGCCTTTTTACACAACATATCCAATTTCAGCAAGCCCCAAATTAAACACCTTTAACAACATGCTTGCTGGGGGGGCAGTAGCTCTGCACCCCCCCCCCCCCCCCCCATCCACGGGGTCCCAGTACTCATGGTGATACCAACAACAGCTTGAGTCCTGTATGTATTCCACAGTCGTGGGTTCAAGCTTTACGACAGATGTGGCTAATGAAGTCGACTTTGTTGGGGGTGTCTAGCTGGTCAGGTGTCTTATGTAACAAAGTCATTACTTATACCGCTATTTAGTGTTGTGCTGTTTGTACGACAAGACCCCTTATGGCCTTCACCCTTAATTTTGGAACTTTTCAACTGTGCCTAACAAACATCTATATCCCCCCTAGGTCCCTGCTCTTGTTTCCCACGGTACTAGACATCATGTGACTTTCCCCGTCCAGCACAAAACAATTAGTTAAAATTCCACTGACCCGGCCAGCTAAGGTCGCTGCAGAATCTGCAAAACAATGTGGATAGGAGCCCCCTGGGAGCAGGCTAGTAACCCCTTTATAAGCGATCGCCCGGAACCCTTGGACAGACGGAGATAGACCGAGGCAGAAGAAAGAGACAGGCAGAGGACAGCGGAGGACAGGCCGGGACAGGCTAGAGACAGGGACAGAGATAGATAGTAGAGAGAAGTACCGGCCAGTTAAACAGGGAAGGAAGGTTGATTAGATAGTATAGATAGGTGGATATAGAAAAGAAAATTACCGATGTATGCTATGAGAGTTACCGTCAGGAACCGTGGCCCATTCCAAGAAGTCACAATAGTTTTCACACACGATGACGGAATAGCTCGTGTATATCGTTTTACTGTAAGAGAATTCGACATTTACTTTCACCGACAATGGGTCCAGCCGGATTCAGGCGTAGATACTGACTCGGGGTCAGATACTGATTCGGGGTCAGATACTGATTCGGAGTCAGAAGAAGAAGAAGCAGGAGCACAATAGATTACACATAGGCCAGACTCCCTGGAGATCTCCCAATGTATTTTAGAAGAAGAAGATAAAAACCATTTTGGACCAACCTACACTAGGAGCCCGGTGGCAGCTTAGACATTAGAGCTAGTTAACCAAGTAACGCACATTTCAGAACAACATTGAAGTCATTGTGTAACATTCTTAGTGTACGAGAATAAAAGTTCCAGTTTAGAACTGTTGTATTGTTGAACGATTCAGTACGCAAGCCTTAGAGTCGAGTGGTAAGCGTGCATCACCATCACCCCTATCGACACGACCATCTTTCTCCTCGTCTATAATCATCATCAGCCACCCTTGTGACAAATACAATCGAACCTGGGTTAGTTTTTCATGGACAGACAAAGAGGCAGCTGTGTCACACTTAGTGCACTTGCTCTGCAAAGAAGCACTATCATTATTTGAAAGCGTTCACTTTCCAGCATAGTAACTATAGCTTGCAATTTGTAAGTTGTCTAGTTGTCTTTTTGTCTGTTTATGACTGCGGATCCACACATGACTATTTGTTTTTTTTTTACAACTAAGGGTAAACCCAGCCTCATAAAAATGATGCATGATATTTTCTCCCACAAATGTGGGAACTGTCATGGAAAGAAAAGTGATGAGGAAGAGAGCTGGGTACTGCCACATCAGGTGATCCTTGACCAAACCAACCAGTTTTCTCATTCTGCTCTTCAAGCTCTATGACTTCAATACAACAGCAACTCTCAAATATAACTCAAACTTGTTCTGATTTATGAAGACAAGAGCAGGACAACTCTCCAAATATTATTGCATTTACTCCTCTAGCACCTTGCAGCAACGATGGGTGATGTATAATTTACGCGAAAGTGCCCGTTGTGCACTTCATAAATAGGGATTCCTAGGGACTCTGTTATTCCCTCTGTCCATATTTGCATGGTCAACCTCTTTTTTGCTTTACGCCTGGTGTGTACCATCTGTGGTATACTGTTGGTTGGCATCTGTGTTAGATGGCCAAACAATTTCACTCACTGATTTCTAAGAAAAATCCAGTGTTGCCGCTACTCCCAATTTTCCTTTGGACTGCACTTACTATAATCTTTAAATCCAACATAGGCAACTTTGTGACACATACTGTGTTCTGATTGCTACAAGATGAAAAAAGTTTAAGAAGAAAACTCACTTCTTCACAACGCTCCAGTTTAATTTTACTGTCTGAGGTTGTTGAATTATCGTCAGTGTCACTAGCATTCTGGAAAGAAACAACAGTAAAACACTGCTAGCATGTTGTTGAAGAAGGTTCTCAAACACTGCTAGAATGTTGTTGTGAAAGATTCTCAAACACTGCTAGAATGTTGTTGTAGAAGGTTCTCAAACACTGCTAGAATGTTGTTGTGGAAGGTTCTCAAACACTGCTAGAATGTTGTTGTGGAAGGTTCTCAAACACTGCTAGAATGATGTTGTAGAAGGTTCTCAAACACTGCTAGAATGTTGTTGTAGAAGGTTCTCAAACACTGCTAGAATGTTGTTGTGGAAGGTTCTCAAACACTGCTAGAATGTTGTTGTAGAAGGTTCTCAAACACTGCTAGAATGTTGTTGTGAAAGGTTCTCAAACACTGCTAGCATGTTGTTGTGGAAGGTTCTCAAACACTGCTAGCATGTTGTTGTGGAAGGTTCTCAAACACTGCTAGCATGTTGTTGTGGAAGGTTCTCAAACACTGCTAGCATGTTGTTGTGAAAGGTTCTCAAACACTGCTAGAATGTTGTTGTGAAAGGTTCTCAAACACTGCTAGCATGTTGTTGTGGAAGGTTCTCAAACACTGCTAGAATGTTGTTGTGAAAGATTCTCAAACACTGCTAGAATGTCATTGTAGAAGGTTCTCAAACACTGCTAGAATGTTGTTGTAGAAGGTTCTCAAACACTGCTAGAATGTTGTTGTGAAAGGTTCTCAAACACTGCTAGCATGTTGTTGTGGAAGGTTCTCAAACACTGCTAGAATGTTGTTGTGAAAGATTCTCAAACACTGCTAGAATGTTGTTGTGGAAGGTTCTCAAACACTGCTAGAATGTTGTTGTAGAAGGTTCTCAAACACTGCTAGAATGTTGTTGTGGAAGGTTCTCAAACACTGCTAGAATGTTGTTGTGGAAGGTTCTCAAACACTGCTAGAATGTTGTTGTAGAAGGTTCTCAAACACTGCTAGAATGTTGTTGTGGAAGGTTCTCAAACACTGCTAGAATGTTGTTGTGGAAGGTTCTCAAACACTGCTCGAATGTTGTTGTAGAAGGTTCTCAAACACTGCTAGAATGTTGTTGTGGAAGGTTCTCAAACACTGCTAGAATGTTGTTGTGGAAGGTTCTCAAACACTGCTAGAATGTCATTGTAGAAGGTTCTCAAACGCTGCTAGAATGTTGTTGTGGAAGGTTCTCAAACACTGCTAGAATGTTGTTGTGGAAGGTTCTCAAACACTGCTAGAATGTCATTGTAGAAGGTTCTCAAACACTGCTAGAATGTTGCTGTGAAAGGTTCTCAAACACTGCTAGCATGTTGTTGTGGAAGGTTCTCAAACACTGCTAGAATGTTGTTGTAGAAGGTTCTCAAACACTGCTAGAATGTCATTGTAGAAGGTTCTCAAACACTGCTAGAATGTTGTTGTAGAAGGTTCTCAAACACTGCTAGAATGTTGTTGTAGAAGGTTCTCAAACACTGCTAGAATGTTGTTGTAGAAGGTTCTCAAACACTGCTAGAATGTCATTGTAGAAGGTTCTCAAACACTGCTAGAATGTTGTTGTGGAAGGTTCTCAAACACTGCTAGAATGTTGTTGTAGAAGGTTCTCAAACACTGCTAGAATGTTGTTGTGGAAGGTTCTCAAACACTGCTAGAATGTCATTGTAGAAGGTTCTCAAACACTGCTAGAATGTCATTGTAGAAGGTTCTCAAACACTGCTAGAATGTTGTTGTGGAAGGTTCTCAAACGCTGCTAGAATGTCATTGTAGAAGGTTCTCAAACACTGCTAGAATGTTGTTGTAGAAGGTTCTCAAACACTGCTAGAATGTTGTTGTGGAAGGTTCTCAAACGCTGCTAGAATGTCATTGTAGAAGGTTCTCAAACACTGCTAGAATGTTGTTGTGGAAGGTTCTCAAACGCTGCTAGAATGTCATTGTAGAAGGTTCTCAAACACTGCTAGAATGTTGTTGAAGAAGGTTCTCAAACACTGCTAGAATGTCATTGTAGAAGGTTCTCAAACACTGCTAGAATGTCATTGTAGAAGGTTCTCAAACACTTCTAGAATGTTGTTGTGGAAGGTTCTCAAATGCTGCTAGCATGTTGTTGTAGAAGGTTCTCAAACACTGCTAGAATGTTGTTGAAGAAGGTTCTCAAACACTGCTAGAATGTTGTTGTGGAAGGTTCTCAAATGCTGCTAGCATGTTGTTGTAAAAGGTTCTCAAACACTGCTAGAATGTTGTTGTGGAAGGTTCTCAAACACTGCTAGAATGATGTTGTAGAAGGTTCTCAAACACTGCTAGAATGTCATTGTAGAAGGTTCTCAAACACTGCTAGAATGTCGTTGTGGAAGGTTCTCAAACACTGCTAGAATGTCATTGTAGAAGGTTCTCAAACACTGCTAGAATGTCATTGTAGAAGGTTCTCAAACACTGCTAGAATGTTGTTGTGGAAGGTTCTCAAACACTGCTAGAATGTTGTTGTGGAAGGTTCTCAAACACTGCTAGAATGTTGTTGTGGAAGGTTCTCAAACACTGCTAGAATGTTGTTGTAGAAGGTTCTCAAACACTGCTAGAATGTTGTTGTGGAAGGTTCTCAAACACTGCTAGAATGTCATTGTAGAAGGTTCTCAAACACTGCTAGAATGTCATTGTAGAAGGTTCTCAAACACTGCTAGAATGTTGTTGTGGAAGGTTCTCAAACACTGCTAGAATGTCATTGTAGAAGGTTCTCAAACACTGCTAGAATGTTGTTGTGGAAGGTTCTCAAACGCTGCTAGAATGTCATTGTAGAAGGTTCTCAAACACTGCTAGAATGTTGTTGTGGAAGGTTCTTAAACACTGCTACAATGTCATTGTAGAAGGTTCTCCAACACTGCTAGAATGTCATTGTAGAAGGTTCTCAAACACTGCTAGAATGATGCTGTGAAAGGTTCTCAAACACTGCTAGAATGTTGTTGTAGAAGATTCTCAAACACTGCTAGAATGTTGTTGTAGAAGGTTCTCAAACACTGCTAGAATGTCATTGTAGAAGGTTCTCAAACACTGCTAGAATGTTGTTGTGGAAGGTTCTCAAACACTGCTAGAATGTCATTGTAGAAGGTTCTCAAACACTGCTAGAATGTCATTGTAGAAGGTTCTCAAACACTGCTAGAATGTTGTTGTAGAAGATTCTCAAACACTGTTAGAATGTTGTTGTGGAAGGTTCTCAAACACTGCTAGAATGTTGTTGTAGAAGATTCTCAAACACTGTTAGAATGTTGTTGTGGAAGGTTCTCAAACACTGCTAGAATGTTGTTGTAGAAGGTTCTCAAACACTGCTAGAATGTTGTTGTAGAAGATTCTCAAACACTGCTAGAATGTTGTTGTAGAAGGTTCTCAAACACTGCTAGAATGTCATTGTAGAAGGTTCTCAAACACTGCTAGAATGTCATTGTAGAAGGTTCTCAAACACTGCTAGAATGTTGTTGTGGAAGGTTCTCAAACACTGCTAGAATGATGTTGTAGAAGGTTCTCAAACACTGCTAGAATGTTGTTGTAGAAGGTTCTCAAACACTGCTAGAATGTTGTTGTGGACGGTTTTCAAACACTGCTAGAATGTTGTTGTGGAAGGTTCTCAAACACTGCTAGAATGTTGTTGTGGAATGTTCTCAAACACTGCTAGAATGTTGTTGTGGAAGGTTCTCAAACACTGCTAGAATGTTGTTGTAGAAGGTTCTCAAACACTGCTAGAATGTTGTTGTGGAAGGTTCTCAAACACTGCTAGAATGTTTTTGTGGAAGGTTCTCAAACACTGCTAGAATGTTGTTGTAGAAGGTTCTCAAACACTGCTAGAATGTTGTTGTGGAAGGTTCTCAAACACTGCTAGCATGTTGTTGTAGAAGGTTCTCAAACACTGCTAGAATGTTGTTGTGGAAGGTTCTCAAATACTGCTAGAATGTTGTTGTGGAAGGTTCTCAAACACTGCTAGCATGTTGTTGTAGAAGGTTCTCAAACACTGCTAGAATGTTGTTGTGGAAGGTTCTCAAACACTGCTAGAATGTTGTTGTGGAAGGTTCTCAAACACTGCTAGAATGTTGTTGTAGAAGGTTCTCAAACACTGCTAGAATGTTGTTGTAGAAGGTTCTCCAACACTGCTAGAATGTCATTGTAGAAGGTTCTCAAACACTGCTAGAATGTTGTTGTGGAAGGTTCTCAAACACTGCTAGAATGTTGTTGTAGAAGGTTCTCAAACACTGCTAGAATGTTGTTGTAGAAGGTTCTCAAACACTGCTAGAATGTTGTTGTAGAAGGATTTCAAACACTGCTAGAATGTTGTTGTGGAAGGTTCTCAAACGCTGCTAGAATGATGCTGTGGAAGGTTCTCAAACACTGCTAGGATGATGTTGTAGAAGGTTCTCAAACACTGCTAGAATGTTGCTGTGGAAGGTTCTCAAACACTGCTAGAACGTTGTTGTGGAAGGTTCTCAAACACTGCTAGAATGTTGTTGTGGAAGGTTCTCAAACACTGCTCGAATGTTGTTGTGGAAGGTTCTCAAACACTGCTAGAATGTTGTTGTGGAAGGTTCTCAAACACTGCTAGAATGTTGTTGTGGAAGGTTCTCAAACACTGCTAGAATGTTGTTGTGGAAGGTTCTCAAACACTGCTAGAATGTTGTTGTGGAAGGTTCTCAAACACTGCTAGAATGTTGTTGTAGAAGGTTCTCAAACACTGCTAGAATGTTGTTGTAAAAGGTTCTCAAACACTGCTAGAATGTTGTTGTAGAAGGTTCTCCAACACTGCTAGAATGTTGTTGTGGAAGGTTCTCAAACACTGCTAGAATGTTGCTGTGAAAGGTTCTCCAACACTGTTAGAATGTTGTTGTGGAAGGTTTTCAAACACTGCTAGAATGTTGTTGTGGAAGGTTCTCAAACACTGCTAGAATGTTGTTGTGGAAGGTTCTCCAACACTGCTAGAATGTTGTTGTGGAAGGTTCTCAAACACTGCTAGAATGTTGTTGTGAAAGGTTCTCAAACACTGCTAGAATGTTGTTGTGGAAGGTTCTCAAACACTGCTAGAATGTTGTTGTGGAAGGTTCTCAAACACTGCTAGAATGTTGTTGTGGAAGGTTCTCAAACACTGCTAGAATGTTGTTGTGGAAGGTTCTCCAACACTCCTAGAATGTTGTTGTGGAAGGTTCTCAAACACTGCTAGAATGTTGCTGTGAAAGGTTCTCCAACACTGCTAGAATGTTGTTGTGGAAGGTTCTCAAACACTGCTAGAATGTTTTAGAAGGTACTCAAACACTGCTAGCATGTTGCTGTGAAAGGTTCTCAAACACTGCTAGAATGTTGTTGTGGAAGGTTCTCAAACACTGCTAGAATGTTGTTGTAGAAGGTTCTCAAACACTGCTAGAATGTTGCTGTGAAAGGTTCTCAAACACTGCTAGAATGTTGCTGTGGAAGGTTCTTGAGCTGTGCTTTCAGTTCAAGGGAGAAATTATGTGTCCTTTCATACAGATAACTGTGTCATAAAGGATATTTTATAACATAACCGTGTTACATCAAGGATATTGTATAACATAACCGTGTTACATCAAGGATATTGTATAACATAACCGTGTTACATCAAGGATATTGTATAACATAACAGTGTTACATAAAGGATATTGTATAACATAACCGTGTGACATCAAGGATATTGTATAACATAACCATGTTACATTAAGGATATTGTATAACATAACCGTGTTACATCAAGGATATTGTAAAACATAACTTGTAAAACAATCATCTTACATCAACATCTGTTTCCATTTTGCTACTTTCAGCTGCAAGCAAGCTGTCTCTGTCCATATTTCATCGCCTGAAAAGAATGTAATGATCGAGTTAAGCACATTCCTTGTTGAGTTTACCTTTTCTAACATAACATGTACTCATTCTAAGCTCTACCTCTTTCTGATGCAGACCTATGATTGGTTAATATGAATTATGTAAATTAAAAACACTTGTGTGAAACTTTGTAATTTACAGTTCCATATTTTGTTCAGTCTTTTACAAGCTGCTGTTGTCCTGCCAACAATAATTTTTTCTGTGTTTCACCAGCAATCAAAATTGCTACCTTAATGTGTGAACATATCTGTGAGCTTAAATCTGTTTCTCTTCAGTCTGACATCTCCTTGATCTGTTACTGATGTCTTCAATATATTGTTCTTTAAATAATTATTGTGTAACACAATCCGCAATGCCATATTTGTTAAAACATGGTGTTTCTTTGCATGCTGTTGCAGATTACTTTTCTTCTTATAGTCTTTGCTGTGTCTATCCACTATCCACAATCTTCTGTCTCATGATCTTTTAATAAATTCTGAAACAGATGATCCTCCTTGCCATGATGTCAAACTGTTCAGCATCTGTTCTCTCAGTCTCCCTCTACCCGTTTTCCCCTCTAACTTTCCCATCGTCATGATGTACTCAAGTTCTCATGATGTGAGCACAGTATATAGATTGTCTCTTAATTCTTACTAAGAAGAACAATATAATCTACAAAATTCCAATCCCTACACAACACTGGTTTTTTTCTTCTTCAACAGCCAGTTCTTGTTTCAGTAGTTTCAACTGCAAACCAATCACTTACACAATCATCTGTGTGCACTGCAGACTCTGAGCATGGTGACCATAAATATACTTAATATTATTATTGACAGCAATTGTAAAGTATATTTGGTGTATGGGTACACATTTTTTGGGGTTTGGAGAATCAGTTCCTACTGAATTAGTTTATTTAATGACATTTAAAGATAGTAGGGGCTTTAGAGCTGAAATGCTATAGAAAGATTCTCAGAATATCTTGGACAAAGAACAGGAGAAATACTAACATCTTGAAAGATCTGAACATCAAGGAAGATTGGCTAATAAACAGCATCCTGTATCGGAAGCTGAAATATTTTGGTCATACCAAGCGCTACGCTGGATTGGAAAAAATTATAGCAGAAGATATGGAACCAGGAAGGAGGGGCAGGGGCCGACTGACACGAAGATGGGCACAGGATATAAATGTCTATTTGAGTATGAAAGTACATGAGGCGGGAGAACTGGCGAGAGACTGAGTTTCATTTAGGCAGACGGTGATGAGAGCGACATTCTGCAAAGGACCTGCTACATGATGATGATGAAGAGCTACTTGAATTTAAAGCGTTACTGTTACAAATTAACTTCAAAACGCCAATGTCTGTTTTGGTTTTAGTGTTGACTTTATTTCTAAAGTTACTGGAGAATAACTGGAGCAACAAGTAGAACAATTAAATTCACTGAAACACAAAGGCTGGTTCTTGAATGAGAATTAATACATTTCAGTGATGCCAGCAGTGGGAGTGTGTTCAACATGAAAGTACAGACACCAAGAGTTAGGGATCAGCAAGAAGATGGAAGTAGAGACAACAAGAGTTATGGGATCACCAAGAAGAAGATGGAAGTAGAGACACCAAGAGTTACGGGATCACCAAGAAGAAGATGGAAGTAGAGACAACAAGAGTTACGGGATCAGCAAGAAGAAGATGGAAGTAGAGACACCAAGAGTTATGGAATCACCAAAAAGAAGATGGAAGTAGAGACACCAAGAGTTACGGGATCACCAAGAAGAAGATGGAAGTAGAGACAACAAGAGTTAGGGGATCAGCAAGAAGATGGAAGTAGAGACACCAAGAGTTACGGGATCACCTTAAGAAGAAGATGGAAGTAGAGACACCAAGAGTTACGGGATCAGCAAGAAGAAGATGGAAGTAGAGACACCAAGAGTTATGGGATCACCAAGAAGAAGATGGAAGTAGAGACACCAAGAGTTATGGGATCACCAAGAAGAAGATGGAAGTAGAGACACCAAGAGTTACGGGATCACCAAGAAGAAGATGGAAGTAGAGACACCAAGAGTTACGGGATCACCAAGAAGAAGATGGAAGTAGAGACACCAAGAGTTATGGGATCACCAAGAAAAAGATGGAAGTAGAGACACCAAGAGTTATGGGATCACCAAGAAGAAGTTGGAAGTAGAGACACCAAGAGTTATGGGATCACCAAGAAAGAAATGGAAGTAGAGACACCAAGAGTTATGGGATCACCAAGAAAAAAATGGAAGTAGAGACACCAAGAGTTATGGGATCACCAATAAAAAAATGGAAGTAGAGACAACAAGAGTTAGGGGATCACCAAGAAGAAGTTGGAAGTAGAGACACCTAGAGTTATGGGATCACAAAGAAGAAGATGAAAGTAGAGACACCAAGAGTTACGGGATCACCAAGAAGAAGATGGAAGTAGAGACCCCAAGAGTTAGGGGATCACCAAGAAGAAGATGGAAAGAAGGAGTCCCTGACACCTGGAGTTGGAGGCTCCAACAACAGCACAGCATACCCAATCTGCCCTAGCAGTAGCTCAGAAACCAATCATTTGTTAGCATGCGAGCTCTCATCGTGCAAAACAGTTAAACAGACAATTAACAATAAAAACAACCACAGAACAGACTAGAAATTGTCTATAAGGTACTAACTACTGTCTGTTGAGTTATTCATACTGACCACGAGGGAAGAGGCTTACTTACTTAGTCGCTCCTCTTCTACCTTGGGGTGTAGAGGTTTGCTAGAGAGATCGCCAGACGTCTCTATCAGCAGTTTTGAGGGAAGAGGCACAAGTGGAAAAGACGACCACTCTACCACTCTTTCATCCTGAATAATCTTGTTGTACTTTTGTTTTCTTTAACAATGGATTCCCGCCCACCTACCCCATAACTTTCGCTGAAAAGTTAGAGAAACTTGATTACTGACACCATTAAGTAACACAGGAGGCAAAATGAGCAGTAGTTCATTCGTTTAATTAGTAAAGTACTAACTTCAAGCTTGTGACAGCTGAGCTACCAAACCATAATAAACTGCGAAACTGTCTTGTCTGCTGGGACAGTTCAGTGAATATCCTGAAAGAACACAAGCACCACTATGTCGGTGAGATAAACATGATTTTGTGACAGTAACTATAAGTCTACTGGCTATGAGTTGTTGGTGTACCAGTAACTATAAGTCTGCTAGTTATAAGCTGCTGTAACAAACCCAGCGATCAGTTTCCAGGCAGAAGAAAACATAATGATCACGACACAAGAAAATGGCGAATGGCGTGTTGGGGGCAGGCTGGCCAGGTTCACCGGGTCACTGGAAGCCAGAAACTGGCTCAGCTTCTTCGTTCGCCCTATAGAGCCCTGCTGGCACCTTGTCGTTAACAGCTAGGCTGCGATATCTGTCTCGCTCCAACACATCCGATTTCAGCAAACACATAACCAGTCTCCATGCTTGTTGTGAGATAGAGGATCCACCCACCAAACCAAAATGGGATCCCTAGAACCCACGAGAGGAGTTAAATCAGCAAACTGTCAGCATTTAATCAATCAGATTTCGTCCCCACGGTGATAGTTGGAGTCTTATCTCCACCACCCTTCCAATTTCACTCGGGATGTAACACTCTCTCAGACTTCAGTTTTTCGTTTACTTGATATTATCCTCCCACTTCTATCACTCTCTTCCCATTGTCTGTTGCCTTCGACTTTTCTCTCCGTTATGTTTTTAGTAAGAGTGTTGTCTCTTTCAGTGTGGTCGAAATATGTCACTTGTCTCTTATTAACGTATTTATTTATTTCAGCAATTCTCTTTTAATTTCTAGTCTCTTTAGAGCCTCTGTGTTTAATTGTTTTTGTTTCCACGAAATACGACCTAAAGGTAAAGTCGGGAGATGTGAACCAGCGTCATTGCAAACGGTTATAAACCATAAGTGCTCTGCCACCAGTACGGGCAGCTGATAAGAAACTCTCCGTCTGTGTCACCGTCCACACGTTACTCTGTAGCTACAGCGACGTTCCTCCATTTATCCCAGAGTGTCACTCTGGTACCCATTTCCTAGACTAGAGGCTGGGTGAACCCCGGGAACCGACCAGTTTTGAACTCCGGCCGTGGCTGCAGCTGGATTTGAAAACGAGCCTCCTATCGACAGCGCTAACGCGGCTCCCGGGGAAAAAAAATACGACATATTCTTCTTTATATCCACATCGTCAGAGCTTCGTTCCTTTGTCATTAGCCTGTTCATGGCCAGCCATGTTCAAGTATCTGTCATTGCATAACATTCACAGTGTCTAAGTCAAGGGGGTCTGCGTGGCCAAGTAAGCCAGCTGTCTCGCGCTCTGAAAGTTTCGGAGATCCCGGGGGTAGTTGCTGACCAGTAGAGCTGACAACACATGGCTACACCCAGTAGAGCTGACAACACATGGCTACACCAAGTAGAGCTGACAACACATGGCTACACCAAGTAGGGCTGACAACACATGGCTACACCCAGTAGAGCTGACAACACATGGCTACACCCAGTAGAGCTGACAACACATGGCTACACCCAGTAGAGCTGACAACACATGGCTACACCCAGTAGAGCTGACAACACATGGCTACACCCAGTAGAGCTGACAACACATGGCTAAACCCAGTAAAGCTGACAACACATGGCTAAACCCAGTAGAACTGACAACACATGGCTACACCCAGTAGAACTGACAACACATGGCTAAACCCAGTAGAACTGACAACACATGGCTACACCCAGTAGAGCTGACAACACATGGCTACACCCAGTAGAGCTGACAACACATGGCTACACCCAGTAGACCTGACATCTGGCCACACCCGTTAGACCTGAAAAATAAAATTTGGGCAACTTAAGAGACCTTCATCTCAGTTTATCACCGCTAGGGGATTCAACACATGACCAGGGATCGCTGAAGACCAAAAACCCATTGACTGAGTCCACTAGAGAGTCAAGACTTGTCTAAC